GGGGGGAATCTTTGTGAGTGTTTTTGAACATGTTCTCCTTTTGACAGGGACATGAGACTTTCATTTCGGGAAGTAGACATTTCAGAGTACTCGAATCCGTTAACAGCCCAATTTCGATCTCGGACTAAAAAATGATGTCATTTGACCATGGCCTTCCCCCGCATCATGCCTAAAAGCTATTTGCTCCCATTACATAAAACATACAATTTTAAAGTTACAAGAGACTTCCGTGAATACAGCTTAGATTATAAATGACACACATATCAATACCATTTTAAAAACAGTTTGATTTCTTTAAAAAGTTTTCAGAATAAATTTGTATGAATTGTACATATACCTTTTTCGGTTCACTTGACAAAGTGGCTAGAGTAAAGAAGGAAGACATGATGGCAGAGATGATATTTGTGAAGGGAATATACCACAAATTTTGATTTTAATAAAGATGCTGTTGTGTGGTATTCTAATTTTAGGGGCGATTTTTGTTCCTGCAGTTGGGGTGTGCCAGTATTTTTTTCTTCCTTCTACTTGGCCCCAAAATGGGATGGGGGTTGGGGGGATCATTGTGTAGACATGCAAGCTGACAAATACCCTGTGTTTTTTTGTCGTCTCTCTCACAAAATGAATTTCTTTAGTTGTATCCAGGGAACCTGTGAATTTGCAAGCTCAGTTTGAATGAAAGTGTATTTGCCTGTGGTGGGGAAGGGTAGATTGGAGATATAGGGCTTATCAAATTACGGTTGAACAACTTTGCATTTTATATTGTTGTATCTGAGTTGATTCATTTGTACTGTTCACATTTTTTTAAGGAATGCCAGACTTGTTAAAAATTGGATTTTGATCAGGACCCTGCTTATGCAATTGTATTTATTGATTTTGCATTGCATATGTGTCTCACACAGAAGCAATAATGATAATAATAGAAACATAACATGTCATTGCCATGTGAAATTAAAAATAGTGGGGGTGGGGCAAGACATTTAAAAAAAATTCTTTTAGAAATTTTTTTTGGGCGGTTGGCAGGTGCTCTGGTGTGGGTTGCTCCTTCTTTCATATCAAACATCTATCATCTTTATCTCTCATACTTCTTTTCTTTGTATGTTACTCTCTAGTAACACCTCCAGTCCGGCACTTAAATGACCAATTTGTGTTATAAGTGTCATAAAACTCTCAATAGAACTAATTTTCTTTTCTTTAATCATCCTCACAGCCTTTCTATGGAGGCAAGCTTCACCACACGACTGCTGAGGTAAAGAACGTGAAGACGGGGGAGATCTGCTGCAAGGTGCAGGGAGAGTGGGACAGCTCGCTGGAATTTTCCTACTCAAATGTGAGTGCTTTGGATTAGAGCTTTTTGCCTCTCTCTCTCAAGTGCCAGGTCCGGAACAGACATTGCTGATCATGGCTTTCAACTCGGTCCTATATTCGGTTATCCTATAAACTCTAGAAAGTTCGTTTTTTAATCTTTTCAATCCATACAAATTCTACTGCTTACCCTCTTACTAGTTTCCTATAAGTTGTTTTGATGGTGAAGCATTTGTCTTAGTTGTTAAAGGGTACAGCGTTAACTTACTTGGTGTCATGTTGGACTGCTGAGCGGATGGCCCTGGTTTGAACTTTTAACAGAGCATTCTGAACTTAAGTTTGATTTGGGGAGTTTTTAAGGCTCTCCACCAATCTGACTCGATCTTGTCGTAGATAGATGTTGAATTCAGAGGTCCTGCCTCTTATACAACCTTACAGTGTTGAGAGGGATGTTAGACTTATGAGTTGTTAGAATATGAGATTGGCACTTATATGACCTATTTATTGTGTTGCAGTGCCATAAAACTCTTACGAAAACTAAAGACTGGATTGAAGAAGGAAAAATGAGTTCTTTCTCTGGAAGGTTTTCTTTCTTTGTTTTTGTTTTATTGTTCAGAGTGCTCTCCCCTCTCGTGCATCACACTGGACTGGTGCATGTGAGCTCTCTCTGGTCCACTGCTAGATTTTCCCAACAGCCCCCTGCGGAGGCCGGCATCTGTGGTGTAGCTGTCGGGTGCTTCACAGTCACAGGCAGAGGACCTGGGTTAGGATCCCATGTGGGGAGATTTTTTATAGAGTATCTTGGATTTAGATCTTTCTGTTGGGACATCATATCCCTCTTATCCAGGGTTGGTCTGGACAGGCTGGGTCAAAGCCCGCCTCCTAAATTATCTAAATTATGTCAATGGGTAGAGAGAAAAAACCCTCCTGAGGAGTACATTCAATGCTAAGAAGGGTAAAGAAAGATTAGGGTAAAAGTAAAGTATAGTTCTCCCATTTAGAAATTCTTGACTTAGTGTGCAGAGTCCAGGTTTCATCTAAACATTCTTTTGCAAATATGTAAATATTTATCAAATTTCAGTAAAGATATGTGAATGATTGGTGGTGCCACTCCTACTTCTTCACTCTCCCTCTGCTGTTACTCTGTCTTACTTTTTTTCGAGCACTAAATATGTCATTGTGCTTCTTTTTACTCAAACAAAACTCATTATGGATGGATGATCAGTGCTTCTTATCTTACCTTGTTTGTACATGTCTTTCTTCTTTTTTTTAAAAATACTTATCAGGGGACAACAAAAACAGTTGATGTCTCAACATTACCGATATCTGGGAAGTTTGTTCGTCCTATAGACCAACAGGGAGAGCATGAGTCCAGACGATTGTGGCAGCATGTGACCAATGCATTGAAAACCAATGACATTAACACAGCTACAGAACACAAGAGAATGGTGAGTGTACAGTGTATTAAAATTCCTAGCTAGAGGTGTTGCAACTAGTAAATATAGCAATGGTGTTTTGCTCTAACTAGGGAACTAGAAGAACCATCTTTTTTCGTTTGTTTTAACGCATTGCACCCGAGCTGCAAGTATATTCATAGCTGCCACGGGCTTCTGTCCACCGTACTACGAGAATAGTCGTAGCAAAATACCAGTCCGCAAAATCGAGTCCAAACCCCTTATCCAGGTTTCTATTGAAAATAGTAGGTCGCTCGTTGCTTGTAAAAACTTTTGCTAACTTGCTTTGATCCAGTTTTTTGCCGAGTGCAAGTGAGTTTTGCTGTTTTGTCGCCGCAAGTCATGGCAAGAAAGCGAGCACTGAAATCTTCATGGACGAGAAGAAAAAAAAATAGCCCCCCAAAAAAACAGTGCCCCAGCTATTTTTGTTTTTGTAAAAATACATAAACCATATTTTTTGTTCTGTTTTAGGCATAAGCCGCAAAGAAAGTGAAAGTAGACGTAAATCTAGAAAAACGAGGCGATCGGATTGATTTTAGTTCCTTGAAAACTTTGAACAAAAGCTAGATCTAGACCATAGATTTACTATAAGTTGCTATGGGTAAATCGAGTGCTGATGAATTGCAGTCTGACGAAGAATATATTGTTTTCTCTGCTCTGTCCGTCATCTTTCTCTCTAATAATTTTAAAAGAACATTTTAAGTAAATTCTAAGGGAAATTTCATATTGATACCTTAAATAGTTTGGGCACAATGCATGTCAACTAAGGTTAGTGTGTCGAGTTCAGACTTTTTCTCACCCCCAGTGGGTCGGGGGGATATAAATAGACCCACTGCTTCGTCTGCAGAAGGTGCAACCCCTTCAAAGGCGGAGTGTCGCACACGGACCTCAACCCTCTGGGATCCGTGTGCGACACTTACTTTGGTGTATCCTCCTCTTCTCCTTCCTTCTTTCTTTCTTCTTCTATCTTTCCTCCCACCGCTGACCTCAAGTGCAGAAAAAAGAGAGGTCACCCATCCCACAGAGTGGGCGCCTCGTTGACCGTGAGGTGCGACCCGTGCGGAGGGAAACCGGGTACCTGGCGGTTGAGGTGAGATCAGTCCACGGACTGTCCCTCACCAACACACCTCTTTGGCCCAGGTTTTCCTCTTAGACGGGAGGGTGGCACGGCCCATGCCACTCAATCGGTTGAGAGCTGAAACCCCATCAAGCCCTGGGTCAATCTTGACGGGAGGGTCTCGTACTTTCTCGTTGAGAGTATAGCTCCGGGGTAGCCCTGGCACAGCTCCGGTTATCCGAGCTATGTGTCCCCTTGTTGGGCTCCGTGGCGGGCGGGGAGCCCCGGAGTCGAATCAAATAGAAAACTCTCATGGATTCTAAAAATCAAAAAGACCCTTCCCCAGCTCCCAACGTTAAAAAGTCTCGGCTCGCGGAAGCGGGTGCGGCCGCCGAGCCGAGCAAAAACTCAAAAAAGGTAAAAGGACCTTTACCGATGCCTCTTTCCTCCCTCCTCCCAAGGAGCTTCTGAGGCAACCGTACGTGGCCATCTCCAGTACCAAAGACGCACAGAGAAGAATTACCGATCTCAACCTCTTTAAGACAGGAGATGCACTACGGAAAGTTCTGGGATACATTCCCACATGTGTACAGAAACTTTCCTGTGGTGCACTCCTTGTCAAGTGCGCAACCGAGATCGAAGTGACCAAACTCCTGGGTACCACGACCTTCGGCGGTATTCAATGTAAGTCAGAGCACTACCAAAAATTTAACCGCTCGAAGGGCGTGGTCCGCAGCCATGAGCTGAAAGGCTGCTCCATGGAAGAGATTGTGGAGCACTGTGAGGGAGTGGTCGAAGCCCGCCGGATTACTCTTCGGCGGGGGGAGACTACTATCGAGACGAACACGATTGTCCTAACATTCGAATCGTGTCGCCCTCCAGCCACCGTTCGGGCATCTTACTTGGTACTCGACGTACGACCCTATGTGCCGAACCCTCTGCGCTGTTTCAAGTGTCAGAAGTTCGGCCATAGCCAGTCACGATGCCGTCACGCAGCCGTGTGTCCTCGTTGTGGCAAGACCGGGCATCCTGAGAAGGAATGCAAGGCTAGTCCTTGTTGCCCCAATTGCCACGGCCAGCACACAGCTTTCAGCAAGGAGTGCCCGACTTGGCTCCAAGAACGCGCCATCCAAGAATACAAGGCGCGAAATGGCTGCTCCTTCCAGGAGGCCCGTAAGGTTGTCTGCCCGCCAATCACAACCCCAGTCATTGGCCGGTCATATTCAATGGCAACCCAGATGGTCACGAGGTCGGCAAGTAATCCTACTACCGACCTCCCAAAGCCCGCGGTCAACAGGCAAGTCTCTGTGCCAAAGAACACCAGAAATAAAAAGCCCGCTACTATCCCTGTGGCACCCCCCTTTGAGGTGCCACTCTCTAACAGCTATGGGGTTCTAGGGGAGGACGGGGAGGACTCTTCCTCCGCCCCCTCTTCTCCCCCTCACCCCTCTTCTATCATTTCTTCTTCTTCTTCTTCTTCTTCTTCTTCTTCTTCTTCTTCCACCTCACAGCCCATCCCTCTGATGGAGTGTGAGGTGGGCCTTCTCCCCTCCCCCCAGCCCCCTCCCCCCAGCCCCCTCGGTCTGCTCCACCTCCCCCTACCCCTCCAGCAGACAAACCCCTGCCTATGGAGGAAGACATCTCCGACCCCCCTCCCCGGCCTGACCCCGGGAAGGGCGGAGTTTGTCACTCCTCCAAATCCCCCACTAGACCGCCGTCCAATCCAGGACGGCAACCTAGAAAACACTCTGCCTCCCCCGTAAGGAGGAGTCAGAGTGCTTCTTCGAAGCCGGGGCCTAAGTGCTCCAAACCAAAAAGTAAAAATTCATAATGGCGGTCCTGCAATGGAATGCCGGCGGAATCCGACCTTCCATTGCAGAATTGCAACATTTACAGGCCACACTGTGCCCACGGGTGGCCTGTATTCAAGAAACAAAATTCGCCCCGGCTTCAACCATAGACTTAAGAGGATTTACTGCGTACCATCACATTCACACGGAAAACCAGATTGCTTCCGGTGGTACCACCATCTACACCGACAACCACACACTCCACAGACAAGTACATCTTAAGACGACCCTCCAAGCTATTGCCGTACGGGTCACCCTGCACAGACCAATCACGATCTGCTCAGTTTACATCCCACCAAATTACCCCCTCAAAATAACCCAACTAAATGACTTAAAGTCCCAGCTCCCAAAACCCTTTATTTTACTAGGTGATTTCAATGCCCACAGCCCCCTTTGGGGAGACAAACCTATAGACCAGAAAGGTAAAATAATAGAAAACTTTTTATTTCAAAATAACATCTGTCTCTTAAATGATAAATCCCCAACTTTCAGAAACAGAGCCACTTATGGCACTTCATCCCTTGACCTTACTTTTTGTACCCCTGAACTAGTCCCAGATCTTGAGTGGTCTGTGCTGGATGACCGTACGGACCATTTCCCAATTCTCCTCAAAAACAATAGCCTCCAAAACGACCCGATCCCAGAACGCTTCAACTTCAAAAAAGCCGACTGGGACGGGTTTGCAAATCAATGTTCCAAGATTCTTAATCCCAATTTCGACCACAACTACAAAAAATTTCACGAAAAACTCTTAGAAATATGCCACAATCACATTCCAAAAACAAAAACAAAACCCCGGAGGAACAAGATCTGGTTCTCTTGGGAATGTGAGGACGCAGTAAAGAAAAAGAAGGCAGCGTATCGAAGAGCCGTCAACAACACCACCATAGAAAATAAGATACTTTATTTAAAGGCTCGAGCTGAGGCACGTAGATGCCTCAGGGAGAGCAAAAGACAATCATTCCAAAAATACATCTCCAAAATCAACAGCCAGACACCACTCAATCAAGTTTTCCAAATTGCTAAAAAATTCTTAGGTAGACGCACAGACACCATTCGGCACGTCCAGAGGCCGGATGGAACAACAGCTGAAACACAAGTAGACATTGCAAACACAATAGCTACATCTCTAGCCAAAAACTCATCCCAAGCAAACTACAACACCACTTTTCAAAACGTCAAAACTAACAGAGAAAAACAACACCTAAACTTCCACTCAAACAACACTGAAACCTACAACGCAGACTTCACAATAGACGAATTAACATCGTGCATCTCGGACCTGGGCGATACAGCCCCGGGACCGGATGACATCCACAACAAGATCATTAGACACTTACCCTCAGAAACACTCACACTCATACTACACATATACAACGACATGTGGCGGTCGCACTCCTTTCCGGAGTCTTGGCGCCTCGCCACTGTCATTCCAATACCCAAACCAAACAAAGACCACACACACCCATCCAATTACAGACCTATAGCCCTAACGAGCTGTCTCTGCAAACTAATTGAAAAAATGATTCACAGGCGACTCATGTGGTTTCTGGAAACGACGGGCTCGCTGAGCGGTCTCCAGTGCGGATTCAGGAAAACCCGATCCACTCTGGATCACCTGGTCCGCCTGGAGACCTTTATACGCGAGACGTTCGCCGAAAGAGGCCACATGATCGCCATCTTTTTTGACCTAGAAAAAGCCTTCGACACAACCTGGAAGTACGGCATTCTTCAAGACCTGCACGCACTCGGCATACGCGGTCACCTCCCTGCCTTCATTGGCAACTTCCTGAAGAACCGTTCCTTCCAGGTTCGTGTCGGATCCTCCCTTTCAGACCCCCACCAACAGGAGGAAGGAGTCCCCCAGGGGAGCATCCTTTCTCCTCTCCTTTTCGAAATTAAAATTAACTCCATAGTGAAAACCCTCCAGAACAGCATAGACAGCTCGTTATACGTTGACGACTTCTTGATATGCTGCCGATCGAAAAATCCTCATTTGAGATCTATGGAAAGGCAGCTGCAAACGCAGCTGCAAAAACTTGAAACGTGGGCAAACAACAACGGTTTCAAGTTCTCCCCGTCAAAGACGGTTGCAGTACACTTCTGCCGAACAGGCAGACGTGTGCTGCAGCCAGATTTGACACTATACGGGGAAAGGATTCCCGTCCAGGACCAAGCTCGTTTCCTCGGTGTCATTTTTGACAAAAAACTTACATTCATACCACACATCAAAGACCTTCGTGTGAGGTGCCAGAAAGCGTTAAACGCTTTGAAAATTCTATCACATCCGGAGTGGGGCGGGGACTCAAAACACCTTCTCCACTTGTACATCTCCCTTGTCCGGTCCAGGCTTGACTACGGCTGTCAAGTCTACGGATCGGCAAAACCACACGTCTTAAAAATACTAGATCCAATACAGAACCAAGGACTCCGCCTCGCTCTGGGGGCTTTCCGCACTTCTCCGGTGGAGAGCCTCCAGGCCGAGGCCAACATTCCACCACTCTCACTCAGACGCACACAACTCTCACTACAATACGCAGTTAAACAGAGCTCAACACCGGAAAATCCAGCGCACAACAGCATTTTTCAAACAAATCCAGAAACCAGAAACAGATTCCAAAACAACGAAAAACTCATCAAACCTTTCGGCCTCAGAATCCTTGAGGACCTCAAAAACTTACACTTTTCCAAACAAGACATCCAACAAATTCTTTTCCCCGACCTCCCTCCGTGGCACTTCACCAAGGCAAAAGTAGATTTACAGCTGACCACACACAACAAAGAAAGCACAAACACCAAAACATTTCAAGCAGAATACAAAAAACTAATAGATAAATACCCCGGTGCGGAGCTCATCTTCACGGATGGCTCCAAAAAAGACAATGAAGTGGGCGCCGCAGCCCTATCTCCCAACAATACACACCAGAGGAGACTCCATCCTGAAGCCTCCATTTTCACTGCGGAGGCCACTGCCATTGACATGGCACTGGACTCTGTAGAAAATTCCCCTAACAAATCTTTCCTTATCCTTTCTGACTCTCTGTCTTGCATCACTTCACTCACAAACTACACACTCCTACACCCAAAAATAGTTAGGCTACAACAGAAAATCCATACACTATCCGAAACAGGAAAAAACATCATGTTCGCATGGATACCCAGCCATGTGGGCATCCGAGGAAACGAGCAGGTAGACGACCTGGCGAAGAAAGCTTCATCCCTTCTGCTGGGATCAACGACAAACACTCTCCCACAGACTGACTTTAGAAATAAAGTCAAAAAGTACACCTCCAGTCTGTGGGAGAGCCACTGGGAAAACCAGAAAAATAATAAATTATATGAAATTAAACCCAGACTAGAACAGCGAAATCCTTCGGATCTCTCCAGAAGAGACGAAGTCATTTTTACTCGATTGCGCATCGGACACACGGCCCTGACCCACAAATACCTACTACAGGGAGAGGAGAAGCCGTTCTGTGTCGGATGCGACACAGATTTTACCATTAGACACATTTTAACAGAATGTCTAGACTTTGGAGAGATCCGAAGGAAACATTATAAATGCAAGAAATTGCAGGATATTTTCTCCGTCGTTGTTCCCAGCAGAATTTTAAATTTTATAAAGGCCATTGGCCTTTATGGCGAGTTGTAAAGGAAATCTGATATTATTTAAAATTTTTATTGTTACTTAAAAGTTGTTTTAGATCACAAATGTATTTACACCGAATTTGAATATTTTAACTTTTTAGCATTTTAAAGTAAATTAGTTACCAGTCGTGAAGTGAACTTTCGCAGAGGTGAACAACTTGTGTTTCGCGCGCTCATATGACCTTAGCAGTTGCGAGCGCCGTAAAACCTTATACTACTACTACTAGACTTTTTCTTCCCACCCCCCCCTGGCTGGCGGCAAACCAGACGGACACAAGTGCACTGCTATGGCAACGCAGGGTGAATTGGTTTAAACCATTGACGTGGTTAATCTGCAAGTTGTCAATAAAATTTAGGACTCAGGATGCTCTGTAATAGTATTACAAAAGTACTGTGAGCTAACTTTTGTGTCTTCTCTTGTTTAAATCAGAAGATGATTGGAGTTTGTTGTTTGTTTGTTGTTGTTTTGTTTTTTGGGGGGTTTTTTGGGTGAAGATGAAAAATTTTTCAGGAAACCTTTACACAATTAGAGCATTACACCATCATTGATATTTGACCCTTCAGGCATGAGTGTGTGCTATGTTTACCCTTCTGCCTACAAAACACATACCTCTACTTGCTGTTATGTCATCTAACAGTCTATCCCAAGAGAGCTGTGCTGGGTGGATCTTGCTGGCTTTGGGAACCAGGGTTCAAAGGGTAAAGTTTACTTGGAGTATTGAAAATGTTCTGAAAGGGTATGTGTGGTCAACCCTTCTACATGGCAATGAATGCAGGACAATGACTTAAGACTGAAAATAAAATGGAAGCAACAGAAGTTTGGTTTCTTTGAAGACTGATGAGAATTTCTTTGAAGGAAAAGAAATCAAGTGAGGTAGTACTTGAAGAAGCCCACTTGGGCTGCTCATTGATAAAAACAATCAGGAAAAGACAAATGCAGTGACACTTGAATAGACATAAAAACCTTGAACATTAACTCTCATTGGCGAAACTGAAGGCAGGCGAGGCAGGGGTAGACTCGGAGCAACTTACTTGGAGAACCTATACAGATGGTATGAGGCAGCGTGGTGAAATTAGACATTCGTCAAAATAATGAAAATGAAGAAACTGACAATTTCCCACAGGTTTGGGAATTTTTATCTTTTTTTTTTTTGGCTCAGCACCTTTCATGCCCTTTGAAAAACACATTTCTGTGTGGATTTTTACTGAAAGACATTGATTCAAGTCATAAAAGATGTAAATTTTCAGTTTCCATGGACTCTCAAGCTAAGGAAATAACACAACTTTGGCGGCCATTTTCTCACTAGACCAATATCTTGACTTATACAAAAGATAAATATGGATATTTTTCCCCCTCAAATGCAAGGCAAATGGACAGGCATTAACCTTATCCGTACCCCCTGGGGTCATTTTGTACCCCCGGGGTTGTATTCTTCACTTTTTAGAATACTTCTAGTACGAAGATCTCTTTGAAACTTTCAGTATTTCTCAAAAAATCTTTTTGACAGACTGCTATGCTAAGCGTGCGAATCGGATTTACAAGTAAATTTCCTCTTTGGAAAGTGGTGGCACAGAGTTCCCCACGTCGCATGGATATGATAGTAAAACACAACTTATGGATAGGGTTAAGATGATATCAATAACTCCATTTGCCCCAAAATTGACGAGCATCTGATTCCACAGAGTCGTAACACATAGCTTTTTTGAGAGCATCCAAGCAAAGGAATGAATGGAGAACCATAATTGCTGATGCCTGTCCAGATATGGCACTCGAAGATTATGATTGAAAGTGCCCCTTCAGATCAGGACCAGATTTTTTGGTATGAGGAACAAGGGTCTTGACAATAGTCCCTCTTGAATTTAAAACCTCGTGTTTCCTCTGATACCATTTTTTTAAAGATAAAAATCTTGTAACGAGGAGGGGGGGGAGGTTGTTAAGAAAGCTGGTGAGTAGAGTCATCATGCAATGGTCTTCCTTGATAGAAATGCTTGAAACTACTTGTTACTGGGTTGGATTTTATGAGAAGATGGAAGATGTGTGCTGCCACACACCATCATATGAAAAAAATAATACAGCTCTAAAAATGCTTTTGTTATTTCTCTGTTTCTGCCTGCAGTTAGAAGAAATTCAACGAGAGGGTGAACGACATCGAAAAGACTTGAACATTGAGTACACGGCTAAGGTGAGTCTCTGATTTGATGCACAAATTTCCAAAAGTGTCAGAATTTGCTGTTTGTTATCAAGCCATGAGTGCATTAGTTACTCTTGCTTGTTAGTTTTTGTACAGTATTTTTAGCCAAATGTAGATCACGTGGTAGTAGAAATTTATAATCATTTGGGGAAATGTCAGATCTGAGCTGATAAACAACAAAATTCTCTTTAGTGTATTCTCTCTGTACACTGACCAATTCAATTGTCTTTGCAGAACCTTATATGTTAATAATGTTGTCGTGACTTGCAGCTTCTGCTGTACTAATGTTTTGTCATTGTGATGAAGCTGGTTTCGTAGGTCTTTGTCCATTATGTTTCTCTCTGCTCTTGTTCCCAGAATTATTCTGCATTTTTTGCACATACAATGCGCTTCTTTCTTTTCTACTTTGATGATTTGGTAAAGAACTATTCGCTCATTGTCAAATATATATCAGAAAACAATTTCTTCAATTTGAAAATCATGCTTTTTAAAATAACCATTTACACACTTTGAAAATGATGTCCCATAATCATTAACACTTTATCAGACTTGGGCAGGGATAGCTCAAACACTTCAGGTATTGGTAAATGTATTCAACACATCCATAGTTCATGTTGATCGCATATAAACAATTTCAAGAGATATCAGTCCAAGAATTATGGCATACTGTACAAGCTATCCCTGATTTGGAGTTTTCTGTGTTCGTATTATCTGCGCCCGACTGCATAACTGTGTAACTCGATTTTTTATCCCCTTTTAAAAGTATGTAACTTATCAATTTCAGCATTTCAAGAAAGTCAATGGCTCTTGGATCTATCACTCCCTCCCCGATAGTTTTGAAGGGGAGCCGAAGAAATGAGAGGGTGTGTGACAGTGCTGCGATAATGTTCCCTGCTGTTGGCGAACGACAGTTTTGTGATATTTGGTATTGGAGGTCTTCCCATGGCAGTTAGACGCATGTCTTCTTTGACGGAGAGGCATTTGATGTCATGACCCATGTTAACTTTGTTACTGATCATCAATTTATCATGCTCTACCAGACAACTTTAAACATTTATAAAAGAATAGCAGTTCGGTATGCGTATACAAGTTTGTGCTTGTAAAAATACTCACATGTATGAAATGTCTTTTTTTCTTTTTTGCTTATTTGATTCACTGTTGGAAATTGATTTGATTGTTTGACAGCTTGAAACTGGCTTAACCCCGGTTATGAAATAAAAAGGTGATTACTTTGATAGATATATTCTTCATTTGACTTTTGAGATGCTACTTGAGACTCAACAGATTTTTTTTTAAATAAACATTTTACTTGACTGAAGTTAGCTGTACTGTTGTGACAGAGGAGGTTTTGGAGGCAGCATGAGAGGAAGTAAGGGCAGAGTGTTGTATGAATATGGGCTCATCTGCGAAATACTGACAAGAAAAAGAAGTGCTAGGCAGATGTCTTTTCTTTTTCATGATGGTATCATTTTCTCTTGCTTCAGCTTGTTGATTTGACAAAGGTTCAGTTTCTTCTGTAAGCCGAGGATTTTCAGCTGATGGGCCACAAGCTCTTACGGGGTTACGCTGCCTTTTTTTTAGGTTGCTGAGAAGATAGGAAGAAAAAAGGTAAAAGTTCATTTGGATTTCCCCTTTCTAAAAATATGTTTAAAGTGTCTATCATGCATGACGGCACTGCAACTCAAGTATGGCCACACAGAGAATGGTGACTACATTTTGACTGCTCAGCGTAAGACTCTGTCAAACGTCACTTTTCATCCTGGTGTATGGTGGAGTTCTACACCAAGCAGTCAGTGTGTGCATACTAGGTCAAGTAAGTTCCAAACGGAGGATAAAAGTTTACTTGTATGGAAGAAAGATTAATGCTCTAGGGTTTTGCATCATTAGACACATCTGGGCTTCGATTTATGATTTCAGAGCTGTGTTGACCCAACACACTTTTGCTACTCGTCTGAGTCTGTTCCCAGGTCAGTATCAGCATCTGCGGTGTAATGATTGGGCTCGTTGCTATTCCAGGCAGAAGACTTGAGTTCGATTCCCAAGTGAGGAAGTGGTTTTATTGTCTATTTGTCTCCTAGTAAGCTGAATCCACTCAGTGTAGATTGTCCCAGACAGGCAATGTTGGAGCATCCCATCTGCTTAATGCTCTGAATGTGTTGATGGGGGAGTAAGACTTTTACAATTAATTAATCATATTTCCGAGCTACATATCAGAGACACTCCATTGCCTCTAAAGCCTGTCAGTTTATAAGTACAGACACTGTGTTAGTATTGCTCCTGCCCTTACATCCCCCTTGTCCTTCATTCCCTAGTTCACCTATCATTACCACATTGTCAGCCTCTATGTAATCTTTTTTTGCAGTTTTGTATTTTGGTCCTAGATTTCACTTTTTCTCTTCTTGATGGCATGAGGATTTGGCATTTTTTATCTTTTTTTTAAAAAATCTTAATCTGGTCATGAGGCTTTAGACTTGCCTTATGAAAGTTATGAGTTTGAGTTTGATTTACAGGTAATCAGGGAAGGATGTTGCATCTTTTGGAAAGGTTCCTTTTGCAAGGTGCCATTTCACAAAGCTAGAAGAAAACAATTGGTAGAGACTGAATATAGAGAGCTTATTGACATCTTGTACTTACTCTGTTTTTCCAGTTTTTATGTAAATCACTTTGAAAGTACTGAATTCCAGTAACTAAAACAGGAGAAAGTATGAAATGAAACCATCATTCTAGAGGTCACAGGCATTAACCATTTATAATTGGGGGCTCAAATGCGAAATTTTTTACAGCCTTGCCTGCTGTGACAAAAACTCCCAAAAATGAGAAAAATCTGAGTTAATACGAGATGGTTCTCAGCTCATAGTATGTACATGTATACAGAACATGCTGCATAATTATATGTTCTTTGGAGGACTGGGTAAGGAAAATTTATGAACTTTCTGACTAAGGGAGTATTGTTCTCACACATAAGCACTTCCACTGAAGGAAATAACCAACTGAATAAGCACTTGAACTTTTAAAATCCGTTTACTCTATTTTTCTTTGTTTTCTACTTCACACTAAATCACCATTATTTAGAATTTGGCTGTTCTGTAAAACAAACAGACTTAACTTCTCTGTGGTGTTGGGACTGTTTGAGAACTTTGTGTGCATATATGGATTTAAAGCATATATTGGAGAGGCAGTTAGTGTCTGCCTTTGTGTGGATTGCATGTTGGAGGTTTCTTTTTGCCCTCCTTCTTTAAGTGGTTGGAAAGTGCCACTGGTAAATCCTTCTTTTCTTTCATTCTGTTGTTTCTATCTGTCTTACATTTTCCCAGCATGAAATGACCTTTGTGACAATGTGTAGGCCTATCTCTTTCTCTAGTGTTGACAAGGGCATTAAACCTATACGCTTACAAAGGTGCTGTAGTAGGTTTTCCTCTATGACCTTGTGAGTTGTTGGAGGCAACCACTGTTCATTTCCACGATTGTTGTCTCAATGTGCTTCATTTTACTCAAACAAACTGTCACGTAGTCTGGACTGACCAGATGTGTTTATGGGCAGTTGGAAGGTGCTATTGGTATTTTCAACTTCTTTTCTTTCCCTCTGTTGTTCCTGTCTGTTTATGTTCCTTGCTTTTTTCCCCATTCTGTTTTCCCCTGCAGTAAAGGACATTTAATGTGTCAATGTGCTTTCTTCACCCAAACAAACCATAAGTGCTAACCTCCAAAATACGTGAGAAGATTGTGACACTGTCACTTGCCTGTATCAGCGTGGCAAAGGTCAAAGTTATTTTAATATAAATATTTTCTCATAGCTTTTTTTTTTTTTTTTTTTTTTTGTTTCAATGTATTCTGTAACTTGTGAGTGTGGCAGTGAGTTCATATTGAGACTTCACTCCCAATACAAAGCATGAGTTTTAGCTTGCATTTGAATGTGCTTAAGTGTGAATGTGCTTGTGTTTGCGTGTGTCTGTGTGTGTTTGTCAGGGATGGAGAGAAAGATCATGTGAATGTGTTCATATGATTGTGCAGCTTTATATATTATGTAATACGAACTCTTCGGAGCAAAAGTAAAAATGAATGACTTTGTTTGTTGGAGAGAAACAGGTGAATATTGTAAGAGGTTTGCGGAGTGAGGACATGGACTGTAAAAAGACGAAAGTCTAGTCTAAGTTTTTAAAAGAGGTTCCTTTTCACATTGTCAAGGAGAATGTCTCTTGGGGGCAAATGAGAATTCTGTCACCATTGCACAGAGGTATTCCAGTAACTCTGCCCTCGTATTCTTTCTTAATGTTTTTTTTTCTTCTTCTTCAGAAAGATGAAGACTGGCGTCTATAGTGTAGTGATTAACATTTTGCCGTTGCACACAGAAGATAACTTTTCAATTCCCATGTGGGAAAGTATTTTTATCAAGTATCTCGTGTATCTCTCAGCTTGGGTTGACCTTGATAGGCAGGGTCGAAACAGCTCGCCTGCTATATGGTCTTCCGAGTGCTGATGTGGGGAGTCAAACATTTACTAGATTTATTTTAAAAAAATACTTTTACATTGTCTGAAGAAAGATATATGGTGGGGAATACTCAGCATCTTTACTCTGACTGTTTTAGGCGTGACTTACATATACATTCTAGTACGCACATGGCGAAATCGACGGGACTTGAAAGTCTTTTCATTATGTAAAAGTCTCACTGTGTGTTTTTTGAAACATGGAAAATGCATGTTTAAGAAAAAGTTTGAGACTTGAAAATCTGTTTGCTGTGTGTGTGTTCGCTATGTATGCTTGCTAGATTCTAGATTGTAGTGTTACTTATCATTTTTGTGTGGGTAAATGAACTAAAACATTTTCTCCTAATTTTGTTTTTTCCATCTTTGAAAGCTGCTGTGGAGACTTGTGTCTTTAGATGTGACCCTTGTTGTAGTGGAAGGTGCTCTTGTGAGGATAGTGCTGTGGAGACTTGTGTCTTTAGATGTGACCCTTGTTGTAGTGGAAGGTGCTCTTGTGAGGATAGTGCAATACAACCACATAGATACAATAATGTGAAGTGTTGGGTGAAATCAGATGCTTGTCAAAGAATGAAATGGAAGAAAACTTCATTTTTCCCCTGGTTTGGCATTTTTTATCGAATTTTTCTATTTTGGCTCAACACCTTTTATGTCCATTCCAAAACACATTTCTGTATGGATTTTACTGAAAAACATTAAAGGCACTAAAAATGTAACTTACCAGTTTCCAAGGACTCTCAAGCTATGGAAGTCACCAAACTTTGACGATCATTCTTTAGCTCATTTGACCTCTGGAACTAGGCAACCCCCACCCCCTTCAATCCGGGATATATATTTGAAACATTTTATTTGACGGGGGGGTTTTTTTTACCACATGCCCAAAAATTGACGATCGCCTGATTCCACTGCGCTGTAACACTTATTCTACTCAGAGAAGGTATATAACCACCTATATCATCACGGTCATAACACAATTGCCTTTGTCTCTTTTAATTGTTTGTTTTTTAAATTTCAGGAAAGTTTTAAAAATAGGACTGACTAAGTTAACCTTATAACTTGAGCAAGAGAGAAAAAGTCTCAATAAGTGAATTTTTAGTACACAAGACAGAATCCAGGTATACTGAGGATATGAAGCAAGTGGCAGGCTTTTTCTATGTCGTACCTGTGACTAGAATCCTGAAACAAAAAATGACATTAGCAAATGTGTTATGACCGTTTGCTGGTCATCTCTCAGGAAGCATTGCTATCATTTCCATGCCATCAGAGACATTGTGAAATCATGTGAGCCTAGGGGGAGGGGGGGAAGGATACATGATTTTGAAAGGCACTTTAAAACTTTTTAGCATCACAATGAGAACACACTCCAGGCTGAACTGATCAGTACCAGCGTCTATGGTGTGCAGTGTTTAGGCATCATGTCACCCTCACACAGAAGACCCGAGTACAATTCTCATGTGTGGAGGGTTTTTATAATTGAATATATCTGTCTGTCTTCTAGGACATTGTTTCCTTCTCAGCCCACTTCCTAAATTATCTAAATTGTGTCAATGAGAATGTAAAACATCTACAATCACAAAATAACAATTGACAAAGAATTGACCAATAATGTACAATGGTTGATCCTAGTGTTGTGCTGCTATAAGTGAAGTGTTTACCATTGCGTTGGTGACTTCTGTTGTCTTCTCAGCTGAATTTAATGAGTGATATCTATTGTATGCATAATTTAATTGTATCATGTTGCTGTGATCTGGTGAAACAAAGCAATGAACAAGCTGCATTTGAATTGTGAGGAGTTTGATATATTGTTCACAATATCGTATGTCGAATTTCTGCTGATTGAAATAGAAATGTATGATTATTGCATTCAATGTTGTATAAAAATCTTGTCAAGAATATGCCTTCGTTTTCTTTTGTTATGGTGGAATAGTTACTTTGTTTTGTTGTATATTTTATACCTGGTATAGTTTGATATTTTGGTACCAGGTTTATTTGTGATGCAGCGTGATGAAATCAGGCGCTCGTCAAAATAATGAAGTCCGAGAAATCTGCATTTTTCGGCCAGTTTGGGAAATGTTTTCGAATTTTCTTTTTTTGGCTCAACACCTTTTATGTCCATTTAAAAACTCATTTCTGTGTGGATGTTACAAAAAAACTGTGATTAAAGGCACAAAAAATGTAAATTTTCGGTTTCCATGGACTATCAAACTATGGAAGTTACATAACTTTGGCAGCCATTTTGTCACTGATTTTACCTCTGAAATCAGGCGATCCCACCTCCTTCAATCACAAATATTTTGACTTCTATTCATGATAGATGGATATTTTTTCACCAAAGGCGAGGCAAATAAACAGGATTTAAGATGATACCAATGACTCCATATGCCCAAAAATGACGAGTGTCTGATTCCACTGCATCATGACACATTTATTGTGAGGGCGCTTTGGTGGCTCAGTTTGCATATGACATTTGTTTAAATCTCAATGGGCTTCCAAAGTTTTTATGGAAGTTTTCATGGCTCTCTGCCCACCTTACTCAGACTCAGAGGTGCATGTTGAATCGGAGATCGTGCATCTTTATTAAGTCACAATACAACTTTTGAAAAGCCGTTTTAACTCAAATGTAACTTTATTCTTTTATGATACTGCACTGCACAGCACAATACTGCACTGCACTGCACAATACTGCACTGCACTGTACTGTACTGTACGAGCATCTGTGGTGTAGCAGTTTGGCACTCCCCTGTCACATGCAGAAGATATCAGTTCAATTGCTGTATGAGGAGGTTAATTTATCTCAATTGTATCAATAGGGGTGGGAGTGTAACACATTTACATTTATTATTATTGCACCTCACTGCACTGCACTGTACAATCATATTCTACAATAAGGCCTTTTTTAAGCAAGGATGAAACAAAAATCTTTTCTTGTCTCTTTTTCAAATTTCTCCTCGGCTGTTCTAAAGTGTCATACTCTCGTGATAACGTTGGTGTACTGAAGTATGTTATTTTAGGAGGTTTTACGAAGTCCTTTCCCGAACACATTGAATGTCAAGTCCCGAGAAGGGTGTTTACCTGTTTTAAGGTTTTTTTAGAATAATTCGTTGACTAATCAAATAATGTAATTGTTTGTTTTGAAAAAAAAAAAAGCAGTAATTTATTAAAGATCTCGTGTTTTTTTAAATTCATTTTGATGCGAACAATAGGTCTACCAGTGATTTTGGGGTAAAGAAGAAAAAAAGAAGCAGTCCAAGTGGACTTGACGAAACGTACGTTTCTTTCTCTCTCTCTCTCTCTCTCTCTCTCTCTCTCTCTCTCTCTCTCTCTCTCTCCCACACACACACGCACACACACACAGAGAGCACGAGAGAGCAGAGAGTGTGCGTGTGTGTGGGGGGGAGGGGGGAGGGTATGCATAACCCCTACCTTCCCTGCCCTCACTTCTCTCTCACTGACTATTTGCCTCACCTCCTAAATCTTAACAACATGTAGTTGTTCTTGTTGACAGCTGTATGAGGGAGGGGGTGATGAGAGGGGGTGGGGGGAGGCAATTACAGCGAATTAAAGGCGATTTCCAGGTTGAGAACCATAGATATGGGGTACATAGAAGCGGAAGCAATTAATTGGCAAAAAGATATTATTAATCCGAATACAGGAAAAAGAGGCTAAAACAGCACCTGGACATGGATGGCTGGTGCCTCTATAAATAAATCATTGATGGTCTCGTCAGCTGTCAGCCAGTTGGACTCATTTTTCGTCTTTTGTAACAGAATACTTTCCATTCTCCTGTCGCCAGAAAACATCTTCTAGTGATCAGATAAACGTTGAGTAGTGGGTGGTTGGCGGGTGCTTTGGTGGGGTTCCCTCCTTCTTTCCTCTCAAACACCTGTCGTCTTTATCTCTCCTCCCTTTTATTTGTATGTTATTCTCTTTTAACATCTCAAATCGTCGGCACTTATTGGCCGATTTGTGTTGCAAGTGCCGTAAAACTCTTACTCAAACTATAGTAAAACGTTGAGTTGGTGAGCTCCCACCCCCTCCCCTCGGGCCAGTCTTGGTGTAAAAAAAAATAAATAGAAAGGGGAAACGGCGTCTGTGGTGTAGCGGTTAGGCGCTTCGCTGTCACACGCAGGAGACCTGAGTTCGATTCCTGAGTAGGAAAAAAATCTTCATAGAGGCTGGCCCTGATAGGTGGGGTCGGGAGCCCGCCTCTTAAAATATTTAAATTGTGTCGATTGGGTACGAAAACGTCTACATTTTTAATGGGCTGATATGACGGGGGGTTGGGGGGGGGGGGTGTTGGTAATTTGGCAGCCCTATCCTATCAGAAGACAACTCTCGGGGAGGGGGTAAACGTTGTAATCCACAAGGTGCCCCCGGTTCTGTGCGCAAAGTCAAACACGTTATAAATGGGTTTGGGGGGGGGGGAGGTATATACGTTACTAAAATATAGTGGGCTTCGAACGTTGCAAGTCGGCAGGGAAATATACAGCGTAACTCTTTTACAACAAAGCAGACAGGTAAATCGATCAACAGCAGACCATAGGCAGTGTGAGGCACATTGCGATCCATTATACACAAATCAGAAACACAAACTTGTTACCTGGTATTAATAATATAATTCTACATTAAAAGCCTATGTAGCCTTTTTCATCGTGTGAGAGTTTCTGCCTGTTCAAGTTCAAGTCAAATGAATGGAGGAAACGTAATCGTATAATCGACAGGCCTAGAAAAAATCACCTTCAGGCGTTGTTAACATTTAGAATGCGCTTTCTCAGTGAGAAACACAACTCTGTGTGCTCTGAGTGATCGAATTTCGGACGTTGGTGTATTTTTTACAGGGCAGAATCAGATGAAGTAGAATTCATTTAGCTTAAAATATGTATGCAGTATAAAATATATATAATTCTTCCTATGTTTGAAGCGCAGTCCGTCACAGCGCTTGCATGGATCAGTGACGTGGATCGAAGCTCTCTATTTCCGCTGTTTTCTTTTCGTCTTTGGCGCTTTTCAGCCTGGTTGTTTCTAAGGCTGCTCTCTAGCATTACAGTTCTTTCCTTTGCCATTTCCCTCCATGTTTTCCTGTCCTCAACTCTTTCTTCCCATATGCTAACATCTACCCAAAGCCTAGATAAGCTGTTTTTGCGGGTGTCTTTGTACCTCAATTTTGGTCTTCCTCTTGGTCTCTTTCCTTAGGCAAGTTCTCCTTAAAGAAGTTACCTCGGAATCCGGTTGTCGTCCACTCTCTTGACATGGCCCAGTCATCTCAATCTTTTTAAAACACAGGATAGTTGTCGTGTTCTGGAGGTTTGCCCGTGCTAACACTTCAACATTTGTAATTCCTTGCCACGCCACGAAATGCATAAGATCTTAAAAATGCGGCAGCATCTGGCTGAGATTGAAAATGTTGAGGCGCTTTTCTTGCTTGCTGTACAAGGTCCATGTTTCAGATCTATAGACCCCATTTAGACGTACAGTCTGTTGATCGACAGACTGTAGGATATCGAAAGGAGGGCCGGCATCCAGTCAATTTCCCGTGTACTGAGGACACGTGCTTCATAAATCTTGATCTTTGTTTTGAAGGTTAATCTTTTTATTGATTTCCCGTGCTCCTTTTGTCAGCCTTCCAAAAGTTGTTGCTGCTTTTCCGATCCCCTATTAAATAATATTCTATAAGATATACTCCGTCTCTCCTCATCCTCCCCCTCCCCAACAACCCATGGCCCTATTCCTATCCCCATTCCTATCCAACCTCGCCCCGTTTCCTTCCAACCTCTCCCGATCCCCCTCTAGGCTTTCTGGCCCTTTCATCAACCCCTCCCCTCCTACCTCAAACCTTCACCCCAGCCCCGTACAATCACATTCCAAGAACCTTTCTACATCACTGTAACCTCCTTGTCACATTCCTAACTCCTCAGTCCACCGGTAACTCCTCCCATTGCCCATATTATAGGGAACCGACGCCTCGGATACAGCATCACTGGCTGGTACTACCACCGCTGTGCTCACAATGAACACTTCAAAGTGTAAAGTTTTGATGGAGCAACTTAATACAAAATTTTTAACAAACAGATCTGATCATTTTTATGAGTTTTTGTTCATCTGTGTACGCCATTCGTAATCACAGTGGTTAATTCCGATGAGTATGTAAGTATCAGGTTTGCTTTTTAATTACCAACCTTATGTCTATACATTTAACCCTATCCGTACGTTGTGTTTTACTATCGTATCCATATGACGTGGGGAACTCTCGTGCCACCACTTTCCAAAGAGGAAATTTACTCGTTAATCCGATCCGTAGGCCCACGCTTTGCAAAGCAAAGGATTTTTTAAAGAAATGCAGAAAGTTTCAAAGAGATCTAAAATGCGAAGGATACAATCGCGGGGGTACAATATTATTAATGACCCCAGGACGTACGGATAGGGTTAAATGGCTTTTTTTTTTAAATCACTGAAAGTAGGTAACTAGATTTTCTGCAAGTTTAAGTTGCTGAGGGGGGGGGGGGCAGTTTGAGAGTCCGCATGGGTAGGGTGCATTTTTAAAAACAAAGGTAGTCTCTGCGAGATCAGCTCAAGCCATATGTTCCTTTCGTTGTGGGGTTGTTAAGAGTGTTGACGTAGTGGAGAGGGGACAACGACGATATATGCCTAGGCCAACCGAACTCCCACAATCAAACGGAAATGAAGACTACAATGAATTGTTTTGATCTTTTTAAACTAGTCTTTATGAAGCGCAGGAATTAATGCGCTTTTACTCGAAGACTTGCCTCATCACTCAGTTTTCAGGACTGAGATGAAAAAAGGTAGGTTAGAGACAAAGCGAGCGCATATATCTGTGCGGCGGCAGCGGAGAAGTTGCTCACCTGGAGAGTTTCTTCCCCATGCTGTCTAAATAAAAATCATTAAAAAAAATATTCTCAAGTAAGAGAACTTGTGTGGATATGAGGTCATGGGAGAAGACCGGGATGATGATATTACTATTAGGTAGGCCTATTACGTCTTTCTTGTTAATCCGAACGGAGAAATGAAGAAGAAGAAGAAGAAGAAGAAGAAGAAGAAGAAGAAGAAGAAGAAGAAGAAGAAGAAGAAGAAGAAGAAGAAGAAGAAGAAGAAGAAGAAGAAGAAGAAGAAGAGGAAGAGGAGGAGGAGGTGGAGGAGGAGGAGGAGGAGGAGGAGGAGGAGGAGGATTGTGGATGGTTGGAGGACTGGTAAAGGGCCATTCTTCTTTTCTTCACATTTGAGTTTTTCGGATCTCATGATCGGTTGTCCACTGTAAAGTTTAATAAGTTGGGTGGAAGAGAATTTTCTTTAAAATTCTATATCTTTGCTCTTAAAATTTGGAATTCCCTCCCAAATGAAATGTGTATTATACATGCATCAGTGAGAGAGTTTAAAAAAAGCCACAGAATTCTACACTAAGTGTAGAATTCTGTGAGAAAAGCGTAAATTTATGTAAGACACTTCAATATTATATGTGTCACAACGCGGTGCTCTCGTCAATTTTTTGGGTACGTGGATTTATTGGTATCATCTTAAAGCATGTTAATCTGTCTTGCTTTGGATTTTTTAAAAAATGTCCATTCATCATATATAGAAGTCTAAATATTTAATATTTTCATACGAATTAAGGGGATTGGGGGGGGGGGGGGGGAGGGGGTTGTCACCTGGTTTCAAAGGTAAAATTGGTGAGGAAATGGCAGACAAAGATTAGTTATTTCCCTAGCTTGAGAGTCCATGGACATTGAAAATTTACCCTTGTATGCCTTTAATCAACGTTTTTCCAGTAAAATCCACACAGAAATGGGTTCTTTATTGGGCATGAGAGGTGTTAAGCTAACAAACAAAAATTCGATAAAAATTCACAAACTTGCAGAAAAATGCCAGTTTCTTCATTTTGATATTTTGACGAGGGCGTGATTTCACCACGTTGCCTCACGTATATCCTATGCCAGTAAATTAAAGTAGGCTATGCCATGTGTGTGCGTGCGTGGGCGCGTGCTGTTTTGTATGGTCTCATAATATGTGCATTATTATTATTATTATTATTATTATTATTATTATTATTATTATTATTATTATTATTATTATTATTATTATTATATTATTATCATTATTATTATTTTTTATTATTATTATTATTATTATTATTATTATTATTATTATTATTATTGTTGTTGTTGTTGTTGTTGTTGTTATTGTTGTTGTTGTTATTATAATAATTATAATTGTTATAATTATAATTGTTATTGTTATTATTATTATTGTTATTATAATTATAATGTATTATTATTATTATTATTATTATTATTATTATTATTATTATTATTATTATTATTATTATTATAGGCAGGCCTAGGGCATTATAACATACACGCATGGCCTACATAAAGAGCAAGCATTGCTCGATGAAAGTCAAACAAAAACCCATTCGATCAATGCTTTTTTGCACGACGATACTGTCCCTTCTTACGACAGAGGGAGCTTTTCCCATGTGCTCGCATTTTGATGACGTAGTTCACAGGTGTTTGTTCATAGAAGGGTCGCAGTTTATTTCCTTTCATATTGATGTGGTTGAAGAAAAAAATGTAGGTGGAGTATGCCTGGTGACATGATTTTTGCTTGTTTCTTTTATGTTTCAGTGTTAACTTTTGTGCAAAGGCAGCATATTATCTTTCCATCCTTCATTCATTGGAAATGAGGTCTTTGTTGCTTGTCAGGTCCCCATGGTGTGCATGAAAAGAAAGTTCAGTGTGTGTGTTGACGAAGGGGACACGATTTGCTCTCAACAGTGGTGTGTTTACAATGTGCAGTAAGGGGAGTTTTAACGATTTTATTGTGCGACAGAGCCTTGCGTTAAGAATGTAGGCCTAGATCTAGATCTAGTCTATGTCTATGCACAAGAGACAACAAAAATAGAATTATGAACACAAATTTGCATGGATTGAGTACAGTGTTGTTTCAGTTTCAAGTTTCAGTGTTAATAAGTTAAGAATCTAGACTGGTCGGTCTTTGATGGTTTCGGAGCCTATTGGTAATACACTACTACAGTATTGGTTAATATTAGGCCCAGGGCTAGGGACATAATGTCCCAGATCTGTTTTAGATCTAGAATTCTAGAATCTAGATCCAGTTGAACTGTAAATCTCTAGATCTGGATTCAAGATCTAATCGTCTAGATCTAGGGATCGGATACTACTAACGCCTACACTAACTTATCCCTCGTCCTGCAGGGGCCGGGTTTATGTCGCCCGATAAGCCTATTTCGGCACCTCGCTTGCGTTCTGGTCAAGAGTCAGTCTAGCCCCTGGCTCAGCGCACGTGCGCCGAGCATCATCTCACGTTCAATTCGGGTTCCGCGTCCGATCCCCATTCAAGCAGGTCAAGTGTGTGTGCGTCAGTCTGCTTGAGTTTGTGTGCGTTTGTGGCCTTCTTCTTGATCTAGAACCGCCTGTGTTGGTTCATAATCGAGGCATACGTCTCATTCAATACCCGCCAAGTTTGTAGCTCTAAATCTTCGTCCAATGAAATTATAGAAGAAATAGACCCACTTGGACATGAGGAGCTCGAAAGGATAGTCAGGAAACAAGTTCTAGATCTAGAAGACTTCCATTTATCTAGATCTATACAAAATCTTTCAAATGAGCTTGATTTTGTATGAAAAGATACTGTAAGCTTGTTTGATAGTTTTGAATACCATTGTGCGGTACAAAGAACATTTTGAGTGAAAAATATTTGGAAATTGACCTAGCTATATTATCCCCTTTTGAGCCTCAGGTCATTCATAACAACAAGAAGAGCGTCTAGAAAGGTTTGGAATGGGCGTAACTACACTCGTAATGTCTTATCAGCTTGTGAGACAGGGTTTTATGTGTTTGTAACACTTTATAAATAGAAAGCTCTGAAAGACAGAGCGTTACTTTCATCTTCGATTAACACACTGCCGCAGTAATCCGCAGTATTCATGGCGAAAACACACGTCCCCCGGCCCACGCGATGTACACCAACAGTACACCCTGAGTGACCCCGGCGGCCTGCCCGGAACGTCCGATGTAATCAGTTGCTGATAAGATTCACATCTCAGCACAGACGCAGGACAAGAGTTAAGAATGTGGGTCCCATTTGGGGATACTTCTAGGTTTTTCCCAACTAGGCTCACTAAATCCCTACCGACGATTACTTCTGGTTCTAAACGATTAGCCTACTTTGTGCGCGTGCCGATAGGAGAGATAGATGTCTAGCCTAGGCCTATGAAACCTATTGCAAAACATCAAATTATATCTCCTTCTGGGGGGCATGTCCTCCTGAACCCCCCCATGTTGTTGTTAGGTCAGGGGGGTAAAGCTACCGTAAACCCCCCTTGCCTTGTAAAAACAAGTGAAATTTTACCTCTCATTTGTAGGTTAGATCTAGATCTACTGATAAAACATCGATACCGAATAGATGGCTATTTAAATCAGTATCGATATCCAGTAGAATGCCTACTCGCCAAGTCTAGAAACAGATGGGACCAACATTCTTAAGTAGTACCGATGTAGGTCTAAATCTAAGTCTAAGTCTATGGATCATTTTTATATTTCATCACTCTGTCCACAGCTACACAGACAGGGTAAAACCAAATTTAAAAAGTCAAGAAGTTACTGTTTAATTATTGGTAGCACTAGCGTCAGTTGCCACAAAGTGAGACGAAGTCTGAAAACAACACTCTATCTTTTTTAATAGTTTTCTATTCATAATTAGACCTGCATGTTTGCCGACAATCGTCTGAAATCCGACAATCGCGACCCGACCCGCGAACCGGCCGATGCTATCGCTAGGCCCGCCTGTATCAGTCAATGTGCGTAGGCGTAGTGCGAGGCTTGGCTGACTTCCAGCGACCCATTTTTCTCCCGTCGGCTTCGTCGGCACTTTCGTTTTCGTGCCGACTGCCAACGTCGGCGTTTCCGACATAATTGTCGGAACCTAAGTAGAAATGCGAATACGAAAAAGGACGACAACTTAAATTATCAACTTTCAGTTTCGTGCTCGAGCGGCCATTTTGAATTTAGTTTGTTGACTAATTCAATTGTTCAGATCGTGTGGATTCATTCAAGTCCGACTCTCTTGTTCTAATAGAATCTAGATCTAGAATTTAGATCTAGATTTATATAGAGATCATTATAGACCCCAATGGAGGATTCATATTCCAATTCTATTGTGTCAAACCCTATCATAGGTTGTGCTGTAATATTAATATTGGTAAAAATAAGCATTTCATCAGGTACGTGAACTATTTATTTATTTAGATCTAGAAAAATCTAGATATATAGATTCTTAGATCTAGATATCTAGGTCTATGGAGGATTCATATTCCAATTCTATTGTGTTATTGTATCAAACCCTATAACAATGTAGATGTAAGCCATATATATAAATCTAGAATCTAGATCTATATGCTCCTTGTTTGTTTTGGAGTGTAGTTTTTTAATTAAAAATTATTTTTTTTCATATTTAGGACTTGTTTTGGCCTTTTTACATGAGGCCCGTTGCAGGTTCTTTTTGGGGATATGGTTAGGGTTAGGTCTCTTCTTTATTGTGTTTGTTGGGGTGGTCGCTCGTTACTCGGATGTCCTTCCTTATGACACCCACAAAGGCCTTTTTTCGGGGGGGGGGGGGGGGGGGGGGGGGGTGCGCAAAATTTTCAGACAATCTGGTTGAGGCTCACATGCAGGTCTACATAATGTCTTACGAACACATAAAAAGTTATAGGTCTAATCCCCTCTCATTTAAGTTGATAAGTCACAACGAGTAGTTATACACATTCCAAGGTTCGAAAGGAAAATAGGTCAATTTTCAAATGTTTTGCGCTCAAATTTATCAGGTCACTATCATTTGTATTTAGAACGGAGTGTCTACGTACATGGTAATCGGGCACCTAGTCTCGGTATCTACTTACACGGTAACCGGGCACATAGTCTCACCTAGTCTTAATATCTACGTACACGGTGACCGGGCATCTAGTCTCAGTATCTACGTACACGGTAACCGGGCATCTAGTCCCAGTATATACGTACACGGTAACTGGAATGAAAATAAATCAATATTTGTCCTGTGCTGTCACTTGCTGAAAAAAAAAAGGAAAGTCATACAAGCGTCTTGTCGGGCTCGCCATCGTGACCGGTCAGTGAACCTGTGCTTTCGCATCACATTGTGAGTACCGGCTGGGGTCACCAAAGTTCATAAAAAATCTGTGTGCTGCGAAGTATATATATATGGCCCCGGAATGGGGGGAGATTCTTGATTTTTTTTTAAAGGTACAGTCGGGGGAGGGGTGGGGATGAAGGCAACACCGGATGACAGAAACTGAACTTGGAGTTCTGAACTGCCCGGTTACCATGTATACGTAACACCAGAGAGTAATTATATAGTCTCTGGTGACACTGAGACTACATGCCCGGTTGCCGGTTACCGTGTACGTAGATATTGAGGCTACATGCCCGGTTACTGTGTACATGACACTGAGACTACGTGCCCGATTAGCGGTTACTATGTACGTAGACACTGAGGCTAGGTGCCCGGTTACCGTGTACGTAGACATTCCGTTGCATAAATTCAAGCTCATTTGACAGATTTTGTACAGTAAAATGGAAGTCTTGTTTCCTGGCTCTCCTTTCGAGCTCCTCTTGTCTAAGTGGGTCAGTTTGTTCTCTCTAATTCCATTGGACGAACGGAAACGTTTAGAACTACCAACTTGGCGTATTTTAAATGAGACGTAGGCAAGCCTACTCTTCGGTGTAGAACCAACACAGGTGATTTTAGAAGGCCTCAAATGCACTCATTGTTGCTCTTTCAAATTCATCAAATGTCATTTTGGTTGTCTTCTGAAATTGTGTGTACTAAAGCTAGTGCAGAGGTAAACTGAACAAAACTTAGCTTGTGCTCGCGAAAATGAAAAGCTGTCTTGGGAAACATCATTGAACTATCACAGACTATCATGGATAGCCTAAAAATATAAAGTGTATTCAACAATCATGTGATGCTTTGAGATTTCATGCCTCCTGAAGCCAGTCAGTCAGATCCTTGTCAAGGAGGCTTTGCCTTCCTGGTCATGTTTCTGGCCTTTAATATTATATTTTTGTAATTTTACATCCGAGACAGTTTGTAGCTCTTTGGTTGCATTCGTGAATTATAATTGGTTATTAGCACTATGACCGGTCGTTTTTTTGGAAGGATTGTCATAGTATTAGGGCAGCTTATTTGTACCACTTTGATGATTTGTGCCTAATAAGACGTGTATCCATAAATTGCTCGGTTTTTCAATTTCAGTTGATTCCAGATGTGACCAAAATAATGATCCTGAGGTAGCCTACAGTGGTCTCCGGGTAAATGCAAGATCGACCGTGAAGCACGCTCATAGCGCGGAGCCGAATTTTTCTTTAATAAAATTGTCACTCGTAAGTGTATGTATTAACTTGCATCTAATATCTTGATCGTTCCTGTGCTAGTGTCTGAAATGGATCGGCCATATAATGACTTTTTTTTCACTTGGAGCTGATGGAAACAAAGTAAAACAAGAAACGCATGCCCTCCTTTATGCCTTAAAACAGACCTGCCACTCTATGAAATCAGGATATCAGGGGAAAAAATCGGGATCAACAGCAAATCACCAAGGTGACTGCCAAAGCTGACTTAATATTTTTCCAGGGGTGTCCATAAATTACTTGGCCTATATGCACTCTGAGTGTCTTTGTTTGCGTGCGCGCACACGCGCGCGTGTGTGTGCGTGCGTGCGAGTTATTATTTTTTGTAAATCCTGAAGCATCACTTCAAGCACTCCTAGTCCAAGTGTCTATACCCACCCCACCAATAAGTCCCGAAAGACATGAACTTAAGTTGACCCCATCAACGGACGGCCCCCGACACGCAGAACTCACACGGCGATGATATGTCACGTGACGCGAATGCGCGATTAAAACAATTTTACTAACGGTTCCGACTGACTGCGCGTTCACACAAAACACTCGGATGAGCGACAGTCGTTCTACTTCTAGATCTAGTACTCTAGGATAACGACCGACCAATTGTACCAACGAATCTCTTATCCCTCATAATGCGTTCAGACTAAAGCAACGACAACGGCCGTATGTTAGTCTTGTCAGCGCAGTTACATGCAGTTGTGTGAGGGTTAGAGAAAGACAGTCGCCAGTCCGAGTGTTTGGTGTGAACACGCAGTTACCAGACCGCGGACAAGGCTTGTGTGGGCAAAGATCACACACAACTTGGGGCGAGTCAACTACTAAATGCGGCATCGATATTTCGGGAAGTAGTGCTCGAGTTCCTGCTGACAAAAAGTTCAACGGGTGCTTCCCGCGATAAAAGAGAAGGCAGAGCAAGTTTTTAGAAAAATACGTCAGAACAGCAGACTGGGACAAAAAATCGGGATACACACGGTCGAAATCGGGAAAATCGGGTTGCTTGAGATTTGGGGCAAAAAATCGGGATATCCCGACTAAATCGGGATGAGTGGCAGGTCTGCTTAAAATTAGGTCTTTGCCTGGGGGAAAAACCAAAAATCACCAGGGCTGTGTGTTTTTGGCCGGAGACCACCGTATTCTCATCCCAGACTTTAAAAAAAAGTGAAAGAAACACTGAACTAAAACTTATCATTCCAGATTTCATGGAACCCAATTCTTTTTCCTGTGAAATTAGCATTCCTAGACCAAGCTATAATACATGGTAATGTGAGACTTAGTTTGAGATTGTAGTATGTTAACATTAAAAGAGCTTATCACTACATGACATTGGACAGAAGGGTGAGAGCCCAGATGTTGCTGTATTGATAACAACAAGCATTAAAAGAGCGACTGATGATAGTAATTGTTGGGGGCTCTCGTGGCCTAGAGGTTAAGGTGTTTGCCTCTCTTTTAAAGGTCCCGGGTTCGAATCTGGATAGCAATGGAAAATTGTCTTCTCTCGAATTTTCTCCTTTCACATCCTTTCATGCTGTCTAACAATTGTCGTCTGCTTTCATCTCCACTTTCTGCCCCCACCCCCTCACCTCCTTTGCCCCCTGTTTAGGCTCCTGACTCTTTCTGCAGGCTTACTACTGTTTCTCCTTGGCTCCTTACTGCTGTCTTTCTGCCACACCCCTGATCTTATGGTAGGTAAGATCTACATCTAGCTTTCTCGGACAAGGGTGAAAAATTTCGGAGGTCCCGGGTGCAAGTTGTGCACATTAAAGATCCCTTGGTGGTTCAAAATCGATTAGAGTAGGCTTCGGCTGTCACGCAGGCAAAATTCAAAATTTCCTACCAACTGAAAATGTTTGGTGTGTCCCGCGTGCTCATATGACCTTATGCAGTTGCGAGCGCAGTAAAACACTTACCAAAACAAACGAACAAGTAATTGTGGTTATTTTTTCTTTTTCATAGATTTTATTATGGTTGATGTATGCCTACAGATAGAGTTGACTGTTTTATTCTATGATGCTGGTAAAAGGTGTGGCAAATATTGTGTGTATACACTTTTGTATTTACATGTACAATATTGCGATTGATGCTTATTTAATTGACTGGTGGAGTTTGTCTGCCTTTTTTTATGCCTAATACTGGTAAAAGATTTGCCATTATTGAATTTTTATATTATGTGAAATTTATCTACAGAAAAAAACAACCCTAGGGCGATTAGTTTTGCAGTAGTATGAGTCGTCAGACGGCATCAGGGCAAAAGGGGAGGACGCTTCAAGTGCCTGCGATGCCTAACAACGCTCTACCCATGCAGACCTCTGATGTCAACACAGTGTTTTGTGAGTATCTGTCTCTTAATGCTTACTTGTGGTTTTGTCTGCTGAGCTTATTAACTCTTTATCTCCGACAAGCGGCTCGCTGTTGGAACTGCTATGCCGGTGAGCCGCTGACAGCGGTGGCTCAGGTAAATTTCTTTACGACAACTTTGACGTCAAATTACTTTTTGGAAACAGGTCTCTTTTACCATTCATTAGATGAAGAACTATCGATATAGGTTCACTTGTTTTGGTTTATTGACCTATTTAGTGATTTTTTTCATCATTTTTATTTTTTAGATTTAGTACTACAAAGGGGCCTCGGCACAGTGGGTTTACACCCCCCCCCCCCCCCCCCCCCCCCAATCGGAGGTAAAGAGTTAACCCCTTCACTGCCGTGTAAGTGTGTTTTATACGGCGGCTCAAACAGATGTATTTTTTTGGTTGATATTTCAGTTTCTACTTAATTTTGTATAAAAGAAGTGGCAGCCCTTGAAAGCTTATCGTTTTAGCTATTAGGTCATATCTATATATATGTGTTATGTGATGAAAAAGGCGGGTTCTACAACACAAAAACAAAGCGAGGTGTGTTGTTTTTCTTACACTCACATTGTGTAATGCGGTCAGACCCGACGCGTCAACTCAGAACGCTTGTCTCAGTTCTTTACCTTTGATTACATCGTTACAGCTTGTTCTACCTGAGTCATGTCTATGGATAAAACTAGATGTCCATTTACCTTTCTGCTTATATGTTATTTGATATGTTGGAAGTACTGTGTAATGAAATTGAACTTTCATTAACTGTGGTTCCTTATGATCTTCTTTTAGCCTGTGCAATGGCATGATTGCTAACTTTACTTTTCTATTAAGACTTTTTGTCAAAGTACTTTAGATTCATTGTTCACAGCAAGCTTTTAATCTTTTCAAAAGTTAATCCTTATGAATGGTAAAGCTTTCATAATTATGAGTAAGCAATCACAGAGAGTTTTGTTAAACAATTATGTAGATTGATGTGAAAGTGCACCAAGCCTGCAGATTGGGCACACTGCTGTTCACTTCTGGAAGAAGGGCTCCACAGTGTTTATACAAGTGATGCCATAGAAAGTCTCCCAGGTTGTGACAAGACAGAATTACCAGTATAGTAGTACTGGAATGATGAGGTGCTTCTGTGGTACTGACACTGCTCATCCAATTTTCTGAAATGGTTAAAATACATTTATGGCATGGAGGGTGGAGAATACCAAAAGACCTCCTCCTAGAAAGAATACCAAAAGACCTCCTCCTAGAAAGAATATCAAAAGACCTCCTCCTAGAAGTAGGGAATTGAAGGACGAACATGGTGTTAGTTTCCACTGGGATGCAAAGATGCCTACAAGAGGAAAATGACATTTAGCTGATTGAATATAGGAATTGTCCGTATGGAAAATTGAAAGCAGTGAAAGAGAGGTTCGGTTAAGGCCAGTTTGAAGATGAGAAGGACATAGCTGGAAATTCATCCCAACTCTCGAATAGACTTGAGAGGATGCAACAGAGCGCTCAGAACATAAAGAATTTATTTGCACTCGATGTACTACATATGAGAAGAAAAAGCCAGTAAAGATATTGTGTCAGTGTTTGCTCAGAAGAAAATCCATTGAAGGAATCATGTGACCTATGTGTTGTTATTACTCTCTGCATGACTTGAATGCTATTGTATGTCCTTTTGTTTTGTTTTTTCTTATTCGTTTTGTTGTGTTGTTTTCCAGGGCCCGGGCCGAATATTGGCAACTCTGACCTGGCCAGTCACTTTGAGTGCCCTGTGTGCTTCGACTACGCTCTACCTCCCATCATTCAGTGTCAGAGTGGGCACATTGTATGTCAGTCCTGTAGACAAAAGTTAAATATTTGCCCCACATGTAGGGGCCCTTTAGGTAAGTCTGTCTTTTTGCCTTGAAAAATCTTTAGGAAACATTTGTTAAAATCATGGATAGTTTCGTTGTATTACAATGTTTTCCTAACTGCCTAGTGGTGTCCTTGGTATATCTGAGCTACTTTTTCTTTTTTTTTTTCTTTTTTCTTTATATTTTCACAGCAGCAGGGAAGTATGGACATAAAAGCATTCGTTAAAAGTTTTTTTTCCTTGATTGTCATACTTGTACTACATCAGCTTCCTTATAGTTCAACTTTATTTGGTTTGGATGTTTATAATTTAGAGGAGTCTTAATTGTTGATCATTATTGGGCTTTTGTTATTATTCTTTGTTTGTATGACAATGTGTGTGTGTGGGGGGGGGGGGGGGAATACCTTATTGTAGAGGTCAGCCCACATTAGCGCTTCTTGTAAAAAAAAAAAAAATTCTCCATATTGTCAACATACTCTTATTTTCCTTTTCAGGCAACATTCGTAATTTAGCTATGGAGAAAGTGGCTGCATCCGTCCTTTTCCCATGTCGTTATTCCAACAATGGATGTATATCCTCCTTGCTCCATACGGAAAAAAGTGAACACGAAGACACCTGTGAACATAGGTAAAGGGGCAGACCTCATGTCACTCTTTTCTGGCTGTGTCCCTTGTACATGGGCCTTGGGGACTTTTTTTTGTTGTTGTTGTATATATATATGGAACAGTGGGAAAGTGGTTTCCTTGAAAGTCAATGAATTACTTACTTACAGTTTTTGTTAAGTCATTCCTTTCTACTCTAATGTTGTTTGGGAGGGGTGCAGTGCTTTAGTATGGTATGCTTTCAATTCTTGATCATAAATATTGATGTGGTTGGTATGGGGATAAAAAAGTTAAAAAGTCGATGACTGTTGAGTCAATGGATAGAAAGTGCAATTCTGGTCGTATGTCCATTGACCAATCCTATTTGAATTGCATTCTTTGAAATGGGGTATTAGCTGTTCTGTAAATATTTGCCAGAAGTTGCTGACATTCTGGCACAATAACTTATTGATTCATTCATTTTTAGTAATCTCAACTTACAGCCTGTTTCTTCCTAGATAGAGCTAGCCTTTGGCTTTCATAGCTACAGAAAACCCACATTTTTAACTGATGGGGGAGTTTTATCGTTCTGACAGGGATTAAAAGACTTTGTTTCAGAGCATCAATTGGGTCCCTCAGACGTAGCTTGTTTGTTCTGAGATGGAGGTCAGTAATATAATTGTTGGGGGAAGTAGTTATGGTGTTTTGGGAGATTTGTGCTTCAATAGCGGTAAAATCCTCAGTGGTGGGGGTGGTTGGAGGGTGCTACTGGTAGGTCCTTCTTCTTTGGTCTTTTACCCCTGTTGTTTCAGTCTATTTTTCTAGTCTTTTCCCTGCACTAAATGACTCTTTTTGCTTGTGTCGATGTGTTTCTCTGTACACAAATAAAACCCACAATAGCCATGTAGTGGAGAGAAGAAACGTACACAGGTAATCAGAGGGCTGTTGGTTTTCTACAAATGTAGGAACTTCTTATTTTTCTCGACACTATACTGTCAAACCTGCCCTGACGGCCACCTGTACAAACGGCCACTTTCCATTCCCCCCCCCCCTGCATTTTTTCTATATAATTTAAGTGTGTAAAACGGGCACCTGTCCGCCGCGGCCACCATATTTTAACACACATCCCCTATCACACTAAGCTATAACACCTGTCTTAGACGGCCACCTTAGTGACTCCATTACGTTTTGTCATAGATTGTGCTTTGGGCCCTGACGTTGTAGGCGAGCCGTCATAATTCAATCACCTGTCGTTGTTGTTAGGTAGTCCCTCCAACCGATCATGTTGCGTAGGCCCCTCCCACTGTTGACCAATAGCTACCAATTTTCAGCTGCTGGTGAGGTAAGCGTGTGATCCCTCAAAACCCATAAGCCCCACCCTGAACTCGTACACAAATTGTAAGTGAGATGAGTGGTCACTGTTTTCCCAGTCTGTAACAAAGTAACAAAGGACGTCAACATGAACTTGTGACAGAAGCGTCGCTCGTTCTCCGAGTGGTGGCGACCCATGTGTTTGTTTTAACATGACTCTCGGTCTTCCTCGTCAGATACATTTAGTTTTTTGTGCAAAATCAGCAACAAAATAAAAATTACAAACAAAATACAAACCACCATCACCACCAACAAAAACGGCAACAATGCGGCTACTTTCGATTGAAACCTCATGTGAAAATGGTTCATTTTCTTCATCTTGTTCAGTCCTGCCTAAGACGGCCACCTGTCTTATACGGTCACTTTTCTCCTTGACAATGGGTGGCCGTCTTACACAGGTTTGACTGTACTTTTCTGTTTGTGTTGGTTTCATTTTTTGTTACCCAAAGTCAACTTTGTTGACGAATTACATTGTAGTCTGGATTGCAAGATCTTGTAGAATTTGGTTGGACATATTCTGATGGAAAGCATCAGCTGTAATTTTGTATTTACTGAAACATTCTACTTCCTGCTTTTTTCCTCAGACCGTACACATGTCCGTGCCCTGGGGCGTCCTGCAAATGGCAGGGCTCGTTAGAACAGGTCATGCCTCACCTCATGCAACAACATAAAAGCATCACCACTCTCCAAGGTAAGAGGCCTGAGAACAGTCGTAGTTTTATATAATTTATTTGCAGATAAAATATTTCACATATTTTTGGGTGACGTGAATGAGACTTGATTTAACGTCGGTGCTGACACTGCATTGATAACCATGTTTTGGGGTTGTTTTTTTCTCTAGTTAGGGTGAAGTGTTACTTAGGATTTACCCAGGGACCAGCAGCCTCCTCCTGATAGTAATGTGACCAACTTTTGATGCCCACCTTTTATGTGCTGTCAGTTTCTGGTGGTTTGGTGCAATCTAGATAGCTCATTTGATATGGGCTTAATGGGATATAAGAAGATGAAGACAAGGGAGGACATGGGTTTATAGGTTCTTTTAACATGAACTTGATCACTTCTGGGCACGAGGAAGCGTATGGTATAGGAGTCGACATGATCAGCTGCTCATTTCGCAATATCATGGACTAATGGCTCTTTTATTTGATACTATCTTTTTGCAAGTAATTTTGCAAGTGAAATAGAACAGGTGTTCAATTACAATTAACCTGTATATTTAGTGTGATAATCTACTATGCTTTAACACATGACACCCTAAGGGCCTGGACGGGAAGTCCATTGTTAGATCCTAAGCAAGGGGAAAGAACCCACCTCCCGTGAATACTGGCCTTTAAAAAACACATTTTAAAAATACTAAACAAATTCCAAAAATCCTGAAAAAATAAAAGTTAAAAAGAAAACTGAATGTAGTTTCAGAAAAGTATAACTTTATGTATGCGCAAACTGTTGGAAATGTTCTAACTTTAGTTCAATCGGGGTATCCGACCCGTCACTCTCACTCTCAGCCTCGCGGTCGGGCCCTAGATCTAAATTCTGTCATTTCTCCGTCTGATCGATCGGAATCGCCCCAAACTCTTCCTACAATGTTTTCATCAAAATCTGAGCCATCTGATTTGTCACATGCTCGTTTTTGCTCAAATCCATCGTTATTTCCGTTTTCGAACTCAATTGTGTCGCTTTTCAACAAGTCGAGGCACTTTCGAAGTGTCGGTAACGCGATCGCACTTCGATCAGCTCTAATACTGAAACTACTGGCCCGAAAAATTTCGTTTCGGTATCAAACGAAAGAAGAAACTTTTTGCTATACTATGCAAATCAAAATCGCGGCCCCAGAGTCTCGTCAAGGCGAGACTTTCGTTTCTAAAGACGCTGGGTCGGCGTGGGCGGTTCCGGGCGAGTCAGGGTAGAGCGCGTAAGGGAATTCCCGGGCGAGTTAGGGTGTAATGTGTTAAGAAGGTTAACAGGTTTTAAAAATGAAGTTGCAGTTTGTGTTTCAAGCAATAGCTTTTGTGAAATGGTAAGATGTTTTTGGACTTGTAATGTTGTCAGCCTGTGCTTACGAAATTTTTTGAGATTTTCGAGGTTGGCACAGACTTACAGTGGGCCCCACTTTAAACAGTCTCAGTAATAACAGTATTGCAGCTATAGCAGGCTTATAGTAAAGCCCCGAGTCTGATCTCTTTTAGGGTATTGTTTAAAAAGTTTTCTTGTAGCAGACAATTACATACGCATGCTCGGCTATAACAGTGATCGAAATATTGAACCAAATCGTAAAACAGATGGACATGGATGCAGAAAAAAGCAAATAAAGCAAAACGACATCCATCATGGTGAATAGCATCTACATGATCCCCAGGAGGCCTAAGTTGAGTCTGTAGATATTGCAGATTTTTTGTGTCATATATACAGGGGAGGGAAAGATAAAGCTGGATGCATTTTCCAGTTGATGAAAATGTTCTAATCAGTGACTTAGCATGAACTTGGTTTTGCACAACACGATCACATTGTCTCCCTGTGGGACGGCCAGACTTAAAACAAGAATGAATGATTGAGGGAAAAGTAAGTAGTCGGGGCTAGATCTACCTCAGATCTATGTGTGATCCTTTTCCCAACTGTGGTAGCTATTTGATTATGAATAATTGTAAAGCACACAGTCGTCTATAAAGCGTAGTATGTGCTAAATAAATACAATTGTTATTTTTATTTGATACTCCCGCATCTCAAATGATGTCTTGTCAATCTCCACGAAACAAAGATACTGGAAAAAGAAAGATAATGAGCAAAAAATATCACTGGAAAAGAAAGGAGAAATCACTGATAAATTGGTAGTGGGTATAAAATAAAAGTGATTCCATTCGTTAATCATTAATTACACTATGTATCTATGTGTCATGGCACAGTGGAATCAGGCTCTCGTCAATTTTGGGGCATGTAGAGTTATTGGTAAATCTGAAAGCTTGTTCATTTGTCTTGCTTTGGATGAAAGTAATATCTAAATATTTTAATTACAAGTTGAGATATTTGCGAATGAAGTAGGTTGGGGTCACTTAGTTTCAGAGGTAAATTCAGTGAGAAAATGGCCTCTAAAGATTAGTTATTTCCTTAGCTTGAGAGTCCGCGGGAACTGAAAATTTCTTTTTTTGTGCCTTTTATTGTTTTTCAGTAAAATCCACACAGGAATGTGTTCTTTGTCATGTTGTGTATAAAAGGTGTTGGGTCAAAAAACAAAATTTCGATAAAAATTCACAAACCTGCGGAAAAATGCCTGTTTCTTCACTTTGATTATTTTGATGAGTGCCTGATTTCATTACCCTGCCTCACATAATGTAAACTTCGTTCACGTCTATAACACATTCGGCTATATCAGGGATATCACATTGGTCCGGGCAGTCCTAGTATAGTCGGGGCCCACTGTATAATGCTGGTCAACCTTTGCTTACAGAGATGCGTGAGATGTTCTACGTAGGTACATGCCTGTGATGTTGGTTAATGTTTACTTCTCTCCCCTAGGTGAAGACATTGTCTTTCTGGCCACTGACATCAACCTGCCTGGGGCTGTGGACTGGGTTATGATGCAGTCCTGTTTTGGTCACAACTTCATGCTTGTTTTGGAAAAGCAGGAGAAAATAGATGGTCTTCAAATGTTCTATGCTATTGTACAGCTCATAGGAACCCGCAAGCAGGCAGAAAATTTTATTTATAGGTATGTTTTACTTTTACTCTGATTTGAGTTTATTTCCTCTTTCTCTGTCTTTTTTTTTTTCTTTGTTTTCTCTATTAGCAGCTAGTACATTCAAATGTGCTGTAATGGCCACCTGTATATAGGGTCACTTCCTATTTTTGTCCCTTACATTTTTTTTTTTCATTTTATTGATACTATGTAAGGCGTCCATTGGTCTTTTGACAACCACTTCTCTCCTCGACTATGGGTGGCTGTCTTGTACAAGTTTGACTGTGTCTCCTTACTGCTGGAATGTTATAACGATACCCCTCTCAGACCCCTAAATCACCCTCCGGGGCAGTGCCACTGACTGTAGTGTCTTTGGGCCATTCCCAAAGGAGGGACATTTCTCGTTCAAGCACAGTAGAATTGTAAATGGGCTGATTCATCATGTCACGCTCATAACTGTGCCTGATCTGCAATAGGGAACTGCTGCTTTTTCTTTCCTAATCCTTACTATTGTCATTTTCCTCTACTTCTTTTGTATGTTTGTCACTCTTGTGACCTGCTATTTCGGGGGTGCCTTGATAGTCGGAGCAGACCTTGTGCTGTTGAAGCTAGAGAGGTGAGCAGAGTAAGTCTGATTCCCTGTAAGGACTTCTCTGTTGACACCCACCCCTTGGCGCTCATATGACCTTATGCAGTTGCGAGCGCCGTAAAACCCTCTACTAAAAAAAAATTTCCTAAATGATCTTAATTGTATCGATGGGGAGTAAAACATCGACAGTTATGATAATAAGTGTTATAGTCCAGACAACTTGTCGACCTCATTACACTGAAACTAAGTCGCGAATTGCTTTGATTTTTTGCATGTGCTTTTGAATTCCATAAAACCTCTTAAAAAATCTCGATTTTCGTGCATATGCGACAAATATAAAGAGGTGTTTTCTATATATAACCATTAGTATTTTATTACAGTCTGCGGTGGGATTTTTATAAGAACAAGAACGGTAGTTGAGTGTTAGTTTTTTTGTTTGTTCAAATCTATTTTCTTTATTTGAACTGATTGCATGTGTTGCAAGACTGAGTTGTTTTCAATCCAGCCGTTAGTGGGTAACAGTGGGTTTATTTAGATGTGCCATTTAGTAATTGTGATATACAATGAGTAAAATTTATTTCTTCACTGTCTTTGAGATCACATGTGTTTCAATTTGCTGTCGCTTGTTCATTTATCACCATGGTTAGATTACTTAATTTACAAATCAGAAAAAAGCCTCCAAAAAACTTTGCCTTAAAAGTACTGAACTATTAAGAACTGGGGTAATGTTGACATGTCAGAAATGATAATAAAATAATAATAATAAAGGAACATAATACTTTCAATAATACTACTTTCATATTTAGGTGGTTTGAAAATGTATGTGTAGGGGACGGGGGGGGGGGGGGGGGGCTATGCCTTGGTCCTGCGTGGGGGTGGGGGTGACATGCCTATGCTTCAAACTTAGCACTCTGTTGATCCCCGGTTTTGGGTTTGACCAAACTGTATTCCCCCGCTTGAACTTGATTTTACTGTTTTAGAGTTAAGGTACACTGGAAAGGTACAAGACAAAAGAAACAGTGGTAGACCAAGAGTCAGTTGTGTGGAACACTCAAACAAAATGAGTGATGCGAAAAGGCCAGGATAATGACAAATTTTTTAGAGCATCTGAGGAGAGAAATGAGTGGTGAACTATTATGGCTAAATGACTGTTCAACATCTTGTACTTTATGGTGGTGATCAAATATCATTTCTGGCTGTGTGATTGAAAACACTGGGATTCATTGCAATACAAAATAATTTTTCTTGTTTTGGACTCTTGTGGCCTTGAATGTTTTGTGTCTTTGGTTTTCCTGTATAAGATCTGAATCATTTTTCTTTCTGCTCAGATTGGAATTGAACGGACATCGCCGGCGCCTGACGTGGGAAGCAGCTCCCAGGAGTATTCATGACGGCATACAGTCAGCCATTGCCAGTAGCGATTGCCTGGTGTTTGACACCAACATTGCACAACTGTTTGCAGACCACGGGAACCTCGGCATCAATGTTACCATCACCATCTGTGACAGATAGAGCTATTGGCACCACAGATTCCTCACCATGTTTGTTTCTGTCATTTGTCACCGTCTCTCTCCCCTCTGTTGGCTGCTAGCCGTGTACATGAGTCTTTGTGTACCCTTGATCACCATTTCCTTTGAAGGTTTTTAGGGTATTCGCGAGTCGTCATTCTATCACTGATCACCATATCTTCTGTAGGCTTTTGAGATTTAGGAGAAACTGGAGCTCGGTTTTCCGATTAGGCAGAATAGTCTTTTGCAAGAGCATGTGCTTTTCAACATTAAGAATTTGAATTTCGACATAATATTTCTTGAGCACTTGCAATCGATATCACAGATCAGGAGACTGCAATGAAAAAGAGTTTCAAAATATTGGGCTTAGTACATTTTTACAGCTGGCTGACATGATTGGTGTTGACTTGAACTATTGGAAAGTCTCTCTCTTTCTGTCTCTCTATCTCCACCTGTGGGTCCTTGATTCTGTCAGCTCTGGTGGCTATGTAAGTCGGTGTTTGGGAAACGAAAGTTAAAGGGTTAGTGTTGGCACTTTGCACTATAGTGTAGATTTGGGTCAATAGTGATGTCTCACTCTAGCCCCGCGAAGAAACTGTCTAGTTTGATCTCAGTTTCAATAATTAGCCTACATCAATTAATAGAAGTAAGTTTCCGTTCTCCAAATGATTTTTTCAGCGAGTTGTGAAAGAAAAGTTATCCGTTCACTCATTCTACCATGTATGCACTTGTTCATCGACTTAAGAGAGGATGGGTATGTGTGTGTGGTGGTTGATATTGTTCCTCAGGCATGTTAGATGGTTGATAATTTACCTCATTCCAAATTAATCCATGTGAGGACAAGTTCCCCATACCAGTCCAGGAAGGTCAAGGAAGGATGTGTCCCTCCCCTTGGCCTGGTGTCAATGGAAAGTATCCTGGGCCTTCTGCTCCATAGTGCTTGTCAACATAGGGATGGAACTGGAGTGGTGAGGGTTAAGTCTCAAATTAGGTTTTGTGTGTTTTTTTAGAGTGGGGATTGACAAAGATAATACTCTTAGTGAGAGTAGACTTTCAGGCATAACACTGTTTGCCTGTTTATCTTCTAAGTGTTTTCAAGTTGGTCCTACAGGCATGCAGACTTGCAAACACACAAGTCCCAGAGCAACACCAATTGGGCACCC